TTTTTCAATAGGCTGTGAGCACGAAAGACGATCCAAAGCTACCGTGTTTAACATTTCGGTTTTGGGTTTTAAGCACTGTAGGTCTTATAAGGTGTTTAATATTATCTTACCATGCATAAATAATCAAGCGTCACAATGTGTCACGTCTTCCATATTCGCCTGCTCAGTTTTTCACATCACTTGGAGCGACGCTATCAGAATTCTACTACTTTCGTCCCAACGGAGGCGATTTCTCTCCATTTTTCGTTTTACTTGTGTCCTATGTATTAGGGAAATGGATGGAGAGAGTTATTCCAACAAGAAAATACAGAATTAAGCAATGGGAGTTTAGTTTTAATCCAGGTTGAAAGTGTGATACTATGAGATTTTCGCTTGTTTCTTAAAAGACATAACTATATGCATACAAATTTCTTAAATTCAATGTTGCCCGTCCGCAGGCCCGTTCAATGTTAAGGAACACGTATGCATAGCTATTTCGGCAGCGGCCGGAGGTGGATCAGCGTACGCAACGGTAACAAGTTTATATAATCCGCACACATTTCGGACGTTACCATTTAACATTTATATTTCCACGTGATTTAAAGGATATTATCGCCATTCAAGAACTTTTTTACCATACTAGTGTCAGTTTTATAAAGGGATTTCTATTGTTAATGAGTACTCAAATTCTCGGTTATGGGCTCGCGGGATTTCTTCGAAAATGTAAGAGGTTTTTTTTTTCGATTTCTTGATTCTATGATTTAATCATTCTTATATGCGCGAATTTTCGTTTGTTTAATACCATGACAGACCTTGTTCGCCCAGCAAACATGATCTGGCCAACAAATTTAGTTTACGCTTCCATGTACAATACCCTGCACGGCGACGCATCCGAAACACGTGAAAAACTTCGGTTCTTCTTGATAACATTCTCGATAATGTTTGTTTGGCAGTTTGTTCCTCAATATATGTTCACTTGGTTGACGAGTATGGCATTGTTGTGCCTCATTGCACCGTATAGCAGTGTGATCAAGAAGTTGGGCAGTGGTTATCGCGGGGTTGGAATTTTGAATTTCACACTCGATTGGAACGCGATAGGACAACCTGGTCCTTTATTCACTCCTTGGTAATAACAAATCCAAATTGATTGCACTGTGTACATTTGATTCTACTGATTTAACGCACAATCTCAATTTCTCATGAATTAGGTGGGCACAAGTAAATTACTATTTTGGTATTATCGTCGGAGCGTGGATTATCGCACCATTGTTATATTGGAACAATGTCTTGTGAGAATGAATTTAATCTTTTCAAAAAAAAAAATTTTTTTTTGAATGTTAATCTCAAAGTGCATATTTCTAACAGAGACGCGCAAAAGTTTCCATTTTTGGCAACATATTCCCTTGACAAATATGGAAATAGGCGAGAAAAAAATCTACTTTCCAAATACATTCGTGTTTTCTTCGCTCTATCTCACATATCATTCTTTTAAAACAGGTACAATCAAACTTCTATAATAGACAAAACTACCGGCGTTCTAAATGTGACGGCATATGAGAACTATAGCCCAGTGTACCTTTCGATTACCTTTGCCGCTTCCTACTTTTACTCATTTATCGCGCTAACTGCGGCAGTTAGCCACGTGTTCTTGTTTTACGGCAAAGAAATTTTGGAAAGGTTTCAGGCAAGCCGAGAGGAAGAAAATGAAGACATTCATTGCAAGTTGATGAGGGTTTATCCAGGTAAGGATATTATTATCATTACACAAATAACCAGTAATAATTATAATTTCAAATGTCTCACGCGCTTATAATTTCAGAAATTCCAAATACTTGGTATGCATCAATCTTTGTTGGAATGTTGATCATCGCAATCATTCTTGGATATACCACCGAGGCCAATTTACCATGGTGGGGGTTACTGACAGCCATCGCGCTAGCTGTGATCATGGTCCTTCCAATCGGTTAGCATATTTTAAATATGAAAATTTGTGTGAACCTTTCTCATACTCTAATGGTTTCATAGGTGTCATTCAAGCAGTCTCGAATAACCGAGTTGGATTAAACGTGATTACCGAAATGATTTGTGGTTATATATTGCCAGGTCGTCCAATTGCCAATGTTTATTTCAAGTGCTACGGTTATATGGCGATGTATCAATGTCTTTTGCTTGTATCAGATTTGAAGTTGGGTATGCATGCATGCTTTAGATTTTTATTTAGAAATCAAAATTTCTTCGTACTCCATACATACATTACCTATTTTCAAAGGTCACTACATGAAGATTCCACCAAGATGTATGTTTACAGCGCAAATGTGGGGCACGGTTGTAGGTGGATTTATAAATTTTTGGGTACTCAAGCTAATAATTACAACGAAAAGATCATTTATCGACGGAACTTTAAACGATCCGACTGGCCAAGTGAAGTGACGATAATCGATCTGTGATGTTTATTTTTATGGGAAAGTTGTCCGATGAAAATATAATTGACACATTTTGTCTGAAATTAGTGGACTGGTTATCAATCGCAAGTTTTCAATACTGCATCAATTGTATGGGGATTGATTGGACCTGCTAGAACCTTTGGGGTATGGAGATTCATGCTATTGTTAATGCTTTGTTTCTACCGGGTTAAATATATATATATATATATATATTTTTTTTTAAAAAAAAAAGTCAGATTCATTATACAATCCACTCCTATGGGGCTTCCTGATAGGATTCATAGCTCCCGTGCCATTCTACCTGCTTCACCGTAGATTTCCTAAATCTCGGTTTGACCTTGTGAATGTGCCCATAATTTGTGGCGGATTGGGTTTATTACCCGGAACCTACACAAATTTCATTATCACGGGATTGATCGCAAGTTTCCTGAGTCAATTTTGGGCTTATAGATATAGGAATAAGTAAGTTAAATACCGTATTTCTGACTTAAAAAATGTCTTGTTACAAAATTTTAAAAAACCTTACCAACATGAATCAACAAAAATACCTCACTTAGGTGGTGGAAAAAGTGAGTATTCCTTCACCTACTAGTCATCAACGAGGTGACATTCTTTGTAACAAACCTATTAATTACAGATATAATTACGTGTTGTCGGGAGCGTTCGATAGCGCAACGCAGATCGCAACGATGGTCATTTTCTTCTTCCTCAATGGTGTTGTCAGGGTACTGTAATTTACGCATTCGTTTTATGAAACTACAACTGCGAATATTCATTATTATGCACGCGGTTTTTATTTAGATTCCGTTTCCTAAGTGGTGGGGAAACGATACTGCATCTCAAGGTGAACGATGCTTTGCGGATTTGGCCAGTCAATGACCTCCTCGATGGTACATGCTTACATTGAAATACATTAGGAATCTTTCTAAATTTGTGCAAATATTTGCATTCGTTTCGAGCCTACTTTTCCCGTGAATGTCGTTTTACGCAAAGAGCCATAACAAAAATCAAGGTTTCTAAACATTAGTATCGAATTTGCCTGTTAATTGTGACTAAACATTTATTTTTTGCGTTTTCGCTAATAATAATCTCGACGAAGCCTCGAATTTGTGGCTTAACTTATTAGCAATTTTGACATTTTATTAATTCATGATGTCAATATTATATTTATAATGATTTTGTTGATTATGCGAATGGCGTAGGTAAATGAAGCAGCCGTGATATTAAAAAAAACAAAATCTATGCATTAATATATATATATACATATACAGTATGTATATATAAAGAACGTATAAAATATCGTAGTTAGTCCATCTCCCAACACCTTGCCTGGTTTAGAGAAAACAACCTGCTAAATAGCAATTATATGAGACATAGTCAAACATTTCAATCCCTTGTTGTTTAATCCTTTCTATCACCCCCAATTCTCGAGGTCCCCAAATTTCACTATCCGACCGATTAGATAAGCTCAACAATTTCAATGAACGGCTTGTGGTAACAGATTCTTCAATTACAGAAAGGTGTTCATATCCCAGCGGATCAAGCGCGATAATTAATGTTTCCAGGGGGGCATTGCACTTCTTAAAAAACTCCGATAACTCCTCGGGCTCGATGACCTCGCAGACCAGACCAAGGTACGTCAGCGATGTTGGCAGAATCTCTCCAAGGGATCTGATGAATAATCCACAACCTTCAAAATAATTATTCTTTACATGAAGCTTCACCAACATTTTATATTGACGTATCCAGTCGAAAAATTCATCTAAAAAGCTCGCCGATTTCATCTCGACGGTGATGTCCGTGATATTAGGCGAATTTCGTGCCGCCGCAATCTTCTCCGTCGTAAGATTATTTATTACAATCTTTGATAGTGACCTACATTTTTGGATTAACCCAACGTCCACCTCATTAGCCCATTCATTTCTATCTAACCTTAGCTCTTGAAGTTTAAGAGTTTGAGGAAAGGATTGTATGTGTGTCTGTGTGAGTCCCGAACAAATGGAGAGCGCTAGTCGCTCCAAGCACTGAAGGTTTGACAGCAATTTCAACGAGATTCCATCAAAGCTTATACCAACAAATGATAATGAAGTCAATCGATTCACATTTTTCACCAACGCCGAGGAGATGATCTTAACTGTGCGCATGTTTTTTGACGCAGAAAGTCTAAAGTCGCTAATGTTATGCTGGGCATAAATTATCTTAGCTATCCAGTGAGCCTCCTCTTCAAATTCAATGTTGTAAATAGGATCTTCTTCAAGGCAAATCGACATCTTCTTGATTCCGGAACACAGAGATGGAAGCTTTTGAATCAAGTCAATCGTCCTAGAAAAAGTTCCATCATAATATTCGTCCACATAAAAATCGAACTCTCGCAGATGGTCAAAAGCTGATCTAGTGTGCATCACGCCCTCGATGTCTGGTCCATCAAACCCATAAAGAAATAGGCTGGGCCTAATCTTCATCGATTTGATTTTCACGCATTGACGCATCAGCATGCGCCAAAGAGATATCAAAATGGCATCTACTCTACGATCATTACAATTGTTTTGACCATCACTATAGTTCAAGAAAACTTCAATTGACAACCCAAAGTCTAAGTCGGAAAATTCTTCCAAGTATTTGGCATAAGGAAATAAAGGTGAGGAATTTTGAGTCTGATAGTCGAGGGTAATGTTAAAAGGTATAAGACTTTTTTGTTCCGACTCATTGAAGAACAAGAGGTACGTTTTCACAATCATATAGTGTTTGTCGCGATGCGAGCTTGAAAAAGGTCGATGCCAGAGTAAACGTACAGCATACGTGCACCAAAAACGATTGACAAAGAGACATCTATAAAGGGTGGATCGATCATATTCTAAATTCTCTAGAATGTTTACTATGCAATCATAAGGTAGCGTTGGTACTGGCATAGTATTCCCGAGACTTCAATGTCTTTTTTAAAAAAAAAAAAAGAAGAAAAAAAAGCTTTCCAGGAGGTGAAGCGTAACAACGGTAAGGTGGAGACGGAATGAATATGAAAGGAAGGTGTGTTTGTGTTGGCTTTCTCAGTTCTGAGGAAAATATAAATTTATGGCGAATGTCTCGGAAACTCTTTAATAACAATAAAAGAATGATAACACAGTTTCTCTTGATATAAACCTCGAGACCATTCGTCAACCTTCGAAAAATTCACCAACTATAAAATATACCAAGAGCGAATTTTTTATGTCCTTGGTGGATGGTTTGGAATCCGAAGTTCAGAAAAGTAAAATTTTCATATGAATCCTTGTATCGATAGTCTCACTGTATGGAGAGAAGGAAGGGGGTTATCGAGAGTTACTGTGTGCGTTGATTGCAAAGATCGCAATTTTTTGAAATGTTTGTACATAGCGCAAGTCGATTTATTTATACCCTCTAAAAACTTGCATGCACGTGCACCACAATTCATGCACACTGCTATAATCTTATAATTTCAGTCATACACAACAAACGAATTGGTGTTACATTCGCATGCGGTTGGTTTTTTTTTTCTTACTGGTGCTACTCATCCGCGTATGTGATTTTTTCACTCGATGAACAAAAAAAAACACGCGTCCTCCGAAGCCGGCGATGCTTTGATCAATGAAAATAAGAAACAAAGGTTAGATATTACCGAAATTAGACCATTCGAGGAACTATTTAACCAGAACTACCTTCGACCCGAATTCATTTCCGCTTGTCGCACCGCATTCCGTAAACGTCTCCCTTTCAACAACTCCACCTCGGTCACCATTTTCAATAAACCCTTCCCGATAATCGTTCTTCCCGATATTTTTCCCACGGAATTCCTGAAATCCGTCAAATTCGCTTTAGAAAAAGAAGTGTTTTACCACAAATCAAATGACCTGTATGAATTCTATCAAAGCGATGACCTAAAACTTTCGACGAAACCGGAATTAGTTAGGCTACGAGAAACCATCTACTCTTCTCAATTCGTTCAATTGATTTCAGAACTAACCGGAATCGAGTTGGATGAAACGCCAGATTTATCTGCGCACCAATACGCATATGGGAATTACTTGTTGTGCCACGATGATGACATTAAAAACGATGACAATTCTCACGGAAGAAGAGTTGCCTTTATTTTTTATTTGGTTGAAGAAGACTGGTGCGAAGAGGATGGTGGTACTTTGGAGTTATTTGATAGGTAGGTCATTGTTATTCTCATGACGTGTAGCTCGCGAGCGATCTTCTTGTTCAACTTTGCATTGCCTTGCCTGAAACAATAAAACAGTGATGAGTTGGGACAACCGAAAAATGTTGTTCAATCCATAATTCCGAAATGGAATTCCATGGCATTTTTTGAATTGAATTCGACTTCATATCATCAAGTTTCCGAAGTTTTGTCCAGATCCAAAATACGCCTTTCAATTTCCGGTTGGTTTCATGGGCCATTACACACGAGATTATCGAATGCCAACTATAATCTCCCGACTTCTTTTCCGCCTCGACTTGACCAATTTTTTCATCATCAGTACCCGTCTATAAATGACTTGGTAAATCCAAGTTACTTAACCGAGCAAGGGAAAAAGAATATCTTGAAGACACTCAGACAGGAAGCGTCAATTGAGCTGCAGCAATTCTTAAAAATAGAAGTGTACGAAAAGTTAATGGATAGCTTGAATCGCGTAGAATGGGATGAAAACCCAATGGGACCGCCGTTTATTAGAAAATATCGGTTGATTGACAATGAAAAATGCATAACGCCTCAACCATTCTACCAGTTCATTCATGACTTCCTAACTTCAACAGCATTCACCGCCTACCTTTCAGAAATTACGAGATATGAAGTCACATCGTTATCTTCAGAAATTCGTCAGTTCCTACCAGGAGATTACACCTTGTTACATGACCAAGCATTGGATCGCGAGGGATTAGATATAGTGTTACATTGTATTGAAGAGAAAAATAAAGAAACCGGAGAAGAGGAAGAATGGAACACAGAATGGCAAGGCGGAACACATTATGTTGCAAGGGAAGAAGAACTATTGACCCTTTGGCCCAAAAAGAATACACTTAGCATTGTCGTTAGAGACGAAGGTACAATGAGATTTGTTAAATATATAAATCATTCGGCAAAATATCCCAGAAGAGAGATGGCATTTATCTATATAGATGATGAAGAGGATGAGTACGATGGGGGTGATAGTATCGAGGATGAAGGAGAAAATAGTGGAGAAG